AGAATTATACTCCACAGAATTTAGGGAAGGAAAAAATAATTTGGGGCATTTTAGTAAATTGCTTGAGTGAAAAAAATACTCAACTTAACAATTTATGTAGACAGTATTTACTTATAAAATTAATACACAAAATTAGGCAATGAAATTCTAACTCTATTTCCCAAGTTACAATGAATCTAGGCAACCTAGAAAGTAGAGTGGGTTTAATATACTGTAATTTCAAAGAAAAGAAAAGTTCCCATTTCCAGGTAGACCCCCCTCTCCAGACAACCAAAAAATAAGTTTGTTGTTTGATGGAAAAAACTTTGAATATGTCAAGACACTACCTTCTCTTATTTGCCAGCCAGATCTAAAAAACTCCACGCGTACATATTTTCTCTGCCGTGGCGCCAAGGGATGCTCACATTCCTAACAGGGTTCATGACCAAAAATGAAAACGTAGTCATTGCATTGAAAAAAACTACAGCTTTCTTTTTAAAAAAATAAAATAAAATAAATAAATAAAAATAAAAATTCTTGTATGCCTCCTAAAATACATTAGCAAGAAATCTCACAATTATACATTCTTCTTTCACAAACAAAGGTTGTATTTTCAGTCAATTCTCAATACGCTTTGTTTATTACTCTATTTCCCTTGGAACTATCATTAACAAAATGGATAAATTCCAAAAAGAATCCTGCATGTGTCTAAATACACACCATCGGTAAGATATCAACAGGAAGATTATGAACTAATACGTCAAAGGAGTGGAGAATAGGGATGCATCACACATGCTGATCTCTTCCCATAGCAACAAGGCATACGAAAGTTCCCCCTAATCAAGTATGCAAGTATATAGTGCGCGAATCCCAGTAAATAAATCTCCAAATTGGCAGAAGGAAAAAAAAACACAGTAAAAATATTCATAATTACCAGTTGATAATTTTACATTTGAACAATAGTGTCTTTGAAGTTATAATCTGGATCTCTAATTTCTTGACCAATATATTTTCTAAGAACTTGATCATTATTTTTTCCTCATTCCTTCATAGCTACCTCCTCTTAAATGATAGGGGGGGAAAGGTGAGTAAAGAGAGCAAGGGAGCCGCATCAACATTCATATATTACTCAATCTCAGTTCACAAATACATGGGCATTAACAGTAATCACAATTCACAGATGCAATGTTCATTAACACTAATCAGTAGTAAAAAGCAATTATTCACGTTACTATTATATTAAAAACCATAATTGGTGCATTACCTTCATAAAACAGTAAAATGTTTTATCACTCCCCTGCCACAACTTCCAAGCTAGTACATATTCTCTAGGCGTCAAAAGAGGGAACTTTTTAATTGTATGACCAACTTCAGTACCGTCAGATTTGTCTACCTGCAGTTGATTATGCTCAACCAGTGTTTTATCCCACTGCTTTCTGTAATCATTATCCATGTAGAAGTTTCTCAGCATCTCAGATGAAATACCACTGAAGACAGTCTTGCTCAAATATCTCAGGGGACCATTCTGCACCACATCGGAGAAACAACTATGTAGTGTATATAGATCATTCCAAAACCATTCTGTTTGCATATGCATATAGCAGTTACTAAATTAAGATTACACACTGAAAGAACAGAACAAGAACTAGTGTAACCTCCTGACATTATTATTTATCATTTAACAGAAAAATGAACTATCAACTAAAATTCTATTTTCCCTTTACTTGGACTCAATTAGTTCCAACTGATCTATAGAAGAATGTGCTGATTAGAGGACAAAATCACCAGAGTATGGTTTGACTCTGCATTTGTGTCTGTAACTAGGCATTCCTGCACATCATGTGAAAGAGGAAAGGGAAAAATACAGAGATGCTTTATTAACTATATAACAATTAAAGCTACATGAACGTCAGACAACAAGGTCCCCTACAATTATGAAAGCAACATTTTAATTAAAACAAAGAAGTTACGTGTTAACTTTCCCAGAAAATACCATGATAGATTCAAGTCTGCAATCCAGTTAAAAATGAATAAGAACATTAACCTTAGGCTTGAAGCATTTTACACTGTAGCACAAATTATGGTTTCTTCTATCCAGGACATCCTCCCATTTATCATTCTCATTGAGCTTCTCATCCAAAATCTCCATTAAAAATTTCAAATCAGCATCTGTCACAAAATTTGAGGTTCTGCAAGAGAAAACAAAAAATTTCACATCGTCAAATCATCTTATTATACACCTCACTCAACACTAGAAAACGTCAAAAAACAACTATGGATGTGACTCAAAGTATTAGGTGTTTGGGTAGTATGCTTGGAAAATCCTTGCTTTAAAGTGATGAACTGAATGTAAACTAAAGGGAAATATTTTCATGTAATATATACCAAGTAATATCACTCAATTACAACAAAAACATTATTAACTGCTGAATTTACTAAGTGACTTCTATGTGCTTAATGTTTTGAATACTTTTTTTACGTAATTATAATCTTGGTGAGTGTTACAGAATCAATCATCAAAACACCTTTGGAGCTGAAACATTTTTTCACATTCAAATTCAGTTTTTTAAATCGCACTTCAGTTAAGATTCGAAAAGCTTAAAAGAGAATAAAATATTAGACTATCAAATGTTTCTGATTTACAATTAGAATGTTACTTTTGACCTCGAATGATTCTTTGCACCCTTCTAAGCAACACATGCATCAAAACTGCTTCTCAGGAATTATAAATTAAAGCCATAAACTGTTAAATAACAGACCAAGCTCGCTACATATGTATGATATCCTAGTTTTTTTTAGCAAGATCATTTCTTCATTTCGTCGATGACTAGACTCAACTCAAGTAACCTAGGTTAATTTTGCTTCTTCCTTTCTATGAAGAGCTTATCCCAAACAATTCAAAGTGAAAAATGAAAGGATCAAAACACAAAGAAAGCATAGAAGAATAATAATAAAGAAGCGGAAATTACAGTTGGAATTGAAATAGTGAATTTATTTAACAAAAAAGACGGAGGTGGAATAGAGACCTGGGGTTTGAAATGATAGAATCGGTGTTGAAAGAGGAAGTGGCCGGAGCCGTGGACAGAGACGGGGACGACGGAGCGAAGAACAATCTGTTACGCTGCCAAAGAAATAACATAACAACGAGCAGAGCAACAAACGTAAGGAGGCCCCAAGCGCCATAGGCATAGATGTTGAACACACTCATCGTCGTCATCACCGTCATGATCGTGCTCGCATTCATATTCTTTTTCCACTCCTTCACTCGTTCACTCAATTCTCTCGTACTCTTCTTCACCGCATTCATTTTCGTCTATATCCCTTTTCCTTCTCATTCCCAGCACCTCTTACTTTGTATTTAAAATTAAATAAAATAAAAATGGAAAATAGTGCACCACGTTAATAATCACAAATTTTTATGTATCACGAAAAATTCGTGAAAAAGGATCGCATTCTTCTTAGTTAATCAAATATACAATTTGGAATATTTAACAGTATCATCATCATTCAATTTCTTTCATGCGTGATATTTAAATTCATAAATACTCATAATGTTTGAATTAAACTCTTAATTCTTTAAGGCTAATTATCTTTTTAATTTTTTTTTAACTTAACATTCATTATCATTATTAGGATTATCACCTTTTTTTAAAATATTGGATCGATTAAGATAAAAATGTATAAAAAATATACCATATATATATATATATATATATATATATATATATATATATATATATATATATATATATATATATATATATATATGTTGAATTAAATTATAAATTAGTGGGTCAATAAATAAATATACTAATTTATTAAAACATATGCTATAATTTATATATAATTTATTTATCTAAAAATAAAAATTAGTTTTAAATATGTGACTTAGATTTTAAAAATATATTTTTAATTTTATTAAAGTGGTCAAAATGGTTTATGAAATGAGGTTGAATCTAAAATATTATAATTCATTTATTTAAATCGAGTTAGACAAACATTTTTTTTATATTCTAGTACGTTGAGTTGAATCAGTCTTTCTTATTTTATACTAATACGTTAGGTATTTGTTGTTATTGTTATTATTATGGAACAAAATCAATAAATATGAAAGTGAGATTTTCCATAAAATACCACCTTTTATACAATATATTAAATTTGAATGTATATAATAATTGAATTAAATTCAATAAGTACGAAGCCATAAAATTAAATTTCTTTTTTCTTGAAATTATGGCATAGTTTAAAATGGGTTTCATACATATTAACACATGAAGAAATAAGTCATGAGTTTCTTTTACAGCATATGCAATGGAGTTTAAAAACAACAAAATAAAAAAAGGATGGGTGAAGATGAATTAAAGAACGTGTTACTTAACAAAAATCAAATTAAGTGGAATAAGAGAACTTATTACTTAAAATTCTAGAAATTCTATATAAGATTTAATAAGAGAGGATACAAGAGTTCACAAGTTTCTCCAAAATTCAAAATGAACTCAATTAAACGTCTGAGTACTAAACAAAACTACAAAACTACAAAACTCTCTTCTATAGGAGATGCAACACTCAAACCAAGCTAAAAATGAAACAATGTTCTAGATCTTCCTATACTAACTAGACATGATCCAACTATGCCTTGCGTTCCATGTAACTTATCCTTGATGCACTAGCAAGCATAAAGTTGATATAAAGTTTTGCACTAGTGAATGCTTACACACTTGGTAAAATAATGTCTATTGTCTAGTGGTATATCGTCTAAGAGGTCTTCTACCCATTGTTTCACTTTCATAAAAAATCATCTCTACATGCGTATTTACATTTCTCATATACAATTTTTTAAAATAGAATTTACATAAGAGTATCTGTCAGCATGCAAATAGCATTTTTAAGAAATTAAACATGAGAAAAAAAGGAGGTTTTCCCATACTATTTTTTTTGGTCTTGCGCATGAAATGAAGATTGTCGTGTGGATTTCACTATATAATATACTACCATCATAATAATAATAACAACAATGATAATTGCAAGGGGATTTGCTGCCTTTATTAAAAGGGTTGTAAAGACGAGGAAATTTTACAAAATGAAACACGCCTAAAACAATCCTACACGAAATTATTAAACAAAAGTGGTGATTAAAATCTAACCTATACACTCCAATGAGCAGAAGTTATTATTATTTGTTTTTTCGGGGTGGAGATAACTAAATCAAAACGACACTTCTAATTGACGCACCGCAGGAGACACTTATACATGAAACCCATTCTCTTACGTGAGTACCTCATTTAGAAACCCCATAGACTCCAACGACTTAACAACGGCAACGCTACCTTGTTTGGAAAAAAGTAATGAGATAAAGCAGGGATGATTTCAATTTTCAATCACCAAATGTGAAACAACATTTCTGGTACATCTTCCTAACTGGTTTGAGTTGAAGAGGCCGGCACTGATTGACCATCATCAGATTTAACTACGTTACCAATGGGGCCATGAGAGACTAAATTATCTCTGTCCGCGGCAACTTCGTTGTTATTCTCATCTAAGCGGACAACTAGAGCAAAACTCTTTGTCATCTGCTTCATAAATTCACCAGTAGTGTTAGCAGAATTCCGATGTTCATTTTCTCCAACTAATCCAGTTGTCATCATGCTGCTTTGCTGCCTTGCCTTCCGTTCTTGCATAGCCTTCTGCCGGTCTTCGTAGAAATCAAAATCATCCAGGATGGAAACATCAGTTTCATAGTTTTTAAAAATGGCCAACATTTCAATACCCTGTGGCAACTTCACCTGCAAAGTTTAAAATAAGAAAGGAGCAACTATTCAGTAGCAAGCAATCACTAAATTTTTAGTAGCACATAATAAACTGATTTCTAGAATTAGTTTGGAAGTTTATAGAATACAGTGATACCTAGGATCGGAAGCTAAATTGATCTAACTGGTCACTCATCACTTTAATTAGAAACAATAATTATCTGAAAACTAATTAAAAACAAAACAAGTGAGCAAAAAGTAAACTTGGTAGATGACCCAAGCAAAGCTCAGACAAATGTAATTCCAAACACCAAGGTGAGAACGTACAAATCAGGACAAAAAATAAGTTTTAGGATGCCTAAAAGTATGAGAAAGTTTCTCAATGCAATATGTAACTCAACATTCAATTGTCAGAAGTCTTCTCATTGACACCCTGCAGTAATCATTTCCCTCTGTCTTCCATCAAATCTGACATTCTATGAAATTAGAGTAAAAACAGTAAAACGTTTAAAGCATGTTTCATAAATTCGTAGATAGTGAAAGAACCCTGATTCTACCTCCTGAGTATCTCGACTGTTAGTCACAGGCTTGTTATCATTATTTTCAAGAACAATGTGACGAAACTGACTGTTTGGAACGTCTTTAATTATGTGCCACTTCACGGGAAACTGGCCACTCCACTTATCTTGTTGCCAGAAGTCCACACTCTTGTCAAAATTGACAGGTCCAACCATTTCAGCTACCCCACAGAACTGAGCACTCGCATTGACCTGGAAATAGTTGCGCATTTTTTTTTGACGGCAGTCAACTTATGTTAGAAAAACACTAGCAAAAACACAGAAATTTAATTTTAGTACTTCAGAGTAGTAATTTCAAACCCCATATCAGGCAATAGATGTCAAATGCCCTACCCCATAAAACTAAAACAATATAATGCCATGAATACAAGGTCAAGAACTAAACCCATTGAATCTTTGTTTGGAGATCTTTTCCATGGGAAATAACCACATTTTTTCCAAAAGCTATCTTAGGAAACTGTGAAACAAGACAGTTATTTCTCAAAAAAACAATCATAAGTTTTTTTAACAGAAATTAGGACAATAATAGAAAACACTGACCCAAGGTTTTCTACAAACACAGGACAAGAAATATAAAGTTACAATAGGTTGAAAATGGTAGCACGATATTTGGACTAAAATAGTTACAAATACCAGATAATTACCGAGAAGAAGAGAAATATAGGGCAGGCCTCTTGCTTCTCCATTGCTTGGCGATATGCAGCATCTAACTTCCTGTTTCCGTTTGGTGTACTAGCCCAGACACCATATTTAATGCTCTTGTGCACATTATCTTCACTGTAAGATTTGATGACAAAAAATTTGGCATCCTTGTAATCTATGGCAAAATCTGACCGATTGAGTGACTCATTTTGAAACTTGGCAGTAGATGCACTATTTTTACCATTATCCACAGAATTTTTTTCAGCCAAAATCTGATTTTTCAGCTTTGAGGCCCTTGGACCTCGGTTCTGCTCACTAAGGATATCAAGAGTACCGTTACAATTGCAAAGAGATGCAGATGGCCGCCCTTGCCTCCTGCTATTTTCAAGAGAAGCACAACTCCTATCATTAAGATTGGAAATAGAAGTACCTCCAAAGCTAGAGCCGTGGTTAGGCAGGTAGCCCCTACCATAAGAGTTTGAACCAGATCCAAACCCATATAGTGATGGCTGTTGATGAGAGGCCTACAAAGAACCGAGTAGTCAGCACTATGTGACATATTGACAATGTATATATGTGTTGCTATCTGGCAACTTCCTGTTTCAGATTGTTGCTGTGCATAGTAATACTTCATTTAAGACCAAAATTCAGAAATTTTATTGGAATACGTTAATATCAGTTATGGGTCATAGGACTTGAGTTCCCATTAAAAACAGAACTGAAAACCTATTTTCCTTTCACCCATTATTTCTTTCAAATTCACTGAAATATTTTTCTTAAATACAAGGTTTGATAGATAAACTGCTTTTCAACCAATACAATCTAGAGTATGATGAATGCCAATGATGCCATAGGGTACTATCGAACAGGTATATAGGCCGAGACAAGGAAGAATTAAGTTATCAAGCTATAGCTTTAGTTACATGTGAACTTGAGTGGATAAAAACAATAGTTGAAATTTTGTAAAGTTCAACACATGAAGTTATATTGTGAAAATCAAGCAGCCCTTCACATTGCTTCCAATCTAGTGTTTTTGTGAAAGAACTAAACATATCAAAATTGATTATCATTTCATTAAAAAAAATGCTATCCAAGGATGTTAGTTGTGGGTTTATCAACTTCAGTGATCAACTTCATATATTTGAAATAAATCCTTAAGAAGAGCTTGAATTAAGTTCCAAGCTTGGTGCATGCAATTTATATGCTTACCTAGAGAAAAGGTGTTAAAATAATGATCATCTTATGTTGTGTAGCTTTTTATGGAGCTATTTTTTATTGCATATAGTATGTCATAGGTTGTAGCCTTTATCTCTGATTTCTAAAAGTTGTACTATTCAAATTTGCATATATAAATATACATTAGTGAAGAGCAAGATTAATCATTGATTTTCAAAAATATCAACTATTTAGGAGAAAATGTAATATCTTGCATAATTATGCTGAAGTTATTGAACAAACCATTCCAACACTCGGCCCAAATGACCCAAGTGAGCCCATGGGCCGTGGAGAAACAGATGGCGATATAGGCATTAAAGATCTTTGTCTTTCTGAGGGTTTTGAGCAATCTGACCAGATACCACCAGATCTTGATCCTTCAAATCCTTGTTGGGATTCATGAAAGCCAAAGGAACCAGGCGCTACAGGAAAGCTGCCTCGACCAAAAGATCCCACAGATGGATAGCCTGCTCTTGGTCCAAAAAACATGTTATCAACTTGTTGGTCAATACCTACCAGGTTGGTGAGCTCTGGCTGTGAAACTGGAGTAGGTGAATTGAGATATGATAAGCTAGGAGGAATTAGCTGAGGATAATAAGGTGGTCCAGTGTATGGAAATTGCTGCGAGGAGTATAACTGTGTGTCTCCACCTACAGAAGGCAAAGGTGTGGTAACTGGGGAATACGGTCCATAAGGCATTTGGGGGTTGAAGCCATACCCAGAATGGAAAATAAGGGATGGATTTTCATTGTAGACACCCTAAAATAGTTTAAAAGAACATATATTGCGTTAAGCATTGCAGACAGAAACTGTGCACAAATAAAAAGAGATGACAAATTCTCACAGGAGATCCAATTTCTAATCCCTCAGAATTGACATATGAAGAATATTCATCCCATTCACCGTTGCCATTGTCAAAACCTGGAATCAGACTCACTAAAATTAGAAAATAGCGATGATAACACCAGTTACCAAATAAACTTTGCACAACACAGCACAACGAGCACCACAAGCCAATTGGTATAGTCAATGGTCACTTAGCAATTTGAAAATCATCTGATAATTACATGTGGTATATGGAAAAAAATGGTTACTAAATTATGTACATAAAAGAACAAAGTCACTCCATTCAATAAAATTTATCTAAAATCTTACACTTTTGCAAACTCAAACTGATTATTAACATAATTTAAAATTAACACATCTATGGACTTTTAAATTTGTGTGCCATGAAATGTTCATAAGATGGATAACAATGACAGGAAAGTGAAAGTGAAATTGAGAAACCTTAATAGTAGATCAGTAATGCAAGAAAAATGTTGAATAGGTTGCAAAAAGGATAAAAAACTCGGGCGAGTCTTGCAATACTATCATGTGTTTCAAAATGATAGTACCATTTCAGTAATTTATTTCAAAATGTCATGGACAATAACACCTAAACATGATGAAGTTACAATAGCTTTACCCACATATATGAAAAACTTAAAAGCCATGTACGTAAAACTGAAATTCCCTAGGTGGTTGGTCAACATAAAAGTATAGTGATAATTCTTTCAAAGAATGAAAAGGACTTGTAGAAATGAAGATTAACCTCTATAGTAGAAAGCCTGAGCTTGAGGAGCATACACATTAGGAGGATACAGAGGAACATCTCCACCTGAACCTAAAGAGCCTGATTGACTTGTGGTCTCCCTCGAATGACCTATAGTCACTGTACCCTGAGAAGACTTGAAAGATATTGAACTTTCAGGTATTGATGAATTAAGTTAAGAAAATAAGACATGTTTGTGTGTGTGTGTGTGTACGAAGAGGGATTAAGTTACTGAGAAACTTTAGGAGAGTTACTCCTCATCACCCTTTATTTTTTTCTTAATCTAATGGATAAAAGTGAGTTACGTATTAACCATTTAGACTAAAATAAAAGGTTAGAATGAGGAGTGACTTGATCCCTTCCCTGTATATTTTTATCTATCAGGGGCAATCTAGTGAAATGACTTATTTTTGTATGAGTTTAGAGAACTACTACCTGCTCCTTCATGTTATCTGGTTCGGCTGGTATCTCTTCTGCATGCATGATCTATATGCTCAGTGACAGTATGAACTTAAAAACACAAGTAGTAGCAATACAGATTATTGACCAAGCAAAGCAAAATTTGGAGATAGCAAAACCTGAATTAATAACTACATACACACAAATCCACACATGCAAACCAAAGAGTGTGAATACACTTTGGAATGGAAATCAGGCAAGTGGGCGCAGTAAAACAGTATTGGTGGAAAGAAATGGTAGTATAAAATGAAGTGTAATAGATCACATACAAAAATAAAGTAATCATCCTTCAGACCGTAGTCTCTCGGTGCCGTTGATAATTGAAGCCATAATTACGAAATTCGTAACACAGAATGTCTGACTTAAAGCGTGATAATTCATTTCTTGTAACCCCCCACCCCCAACAAAATCCACTTCAATGCATGAGTTATTTACTAAGACCACGATGATCCCATCAGGGATTACAGCGAAAATCCACAATTCTTTGTTGTCTGATAACACCAGGGATGGTGTCATTCATGACACAGAGAATTAAGATACCGAGATCAACATCACTTACGATTGTCGTACCCAGATGCAAGGTTTAAGGCTGAACAGAAAAGAAAGTAATGGACATCGAACGTTAACTACAACCAAAATAATATTTCTTTTCTTGAATTCATAAACATTAATAAAAATTTCTCAATCGATTATTTACTTCGTCGAAAGGAAAATTTGGGAAGGTCAAAATTCGATGAAAATATATTAGTAATTATGATGATAATCACAATAAGAAGAAAAATAAAGGAGTCGAGCCGCGTTCTAATACCGGTTGTACGATCCGGAGCCTGTGGTGGTTGGATTGCCGCCATGAATCTGAAGAGGAAAGATCTTCAAAACCCGCACAAGAATCTCAAGGAAATGCAAACTATGAACAGTACCTGTCTATTCATCTAGTGGTGGAGTACCTCCTTCTAAATAAATCTAAATTATTTCAGTGTGTTCAATTAAATTGCTTGTAATTAGGGGGGTTTGCGGATTCTATTGCATAAAGGAAACAGCATTAGTCGGTTAAATAATCTCATTTTTATCCATTTTCATAAATTAACATCTTTTTTATTATAAATCTGGATCTAATGGAATTAAAAATGAATTCCATTCCGTCTTTATCAATTAATTTAATTAGTAAAATTGGAGGTTCTAATGATAAAATATATTATAATTCCTATATTTAAAACATAATTGAATTTGATTAAAAATGAATTACATTTGGTCTTAAATATTAGATTTGATCCTCGTAAATGAATTCCTTCGTATTCCAATAATTACAGCGACATTTACACATAATTAGATTTTAAACGGCTTCAATTAAATTATAAATATTTGCTTTATTTGTAAATGATTTTGTGTAAAACTAATCTTATTAATTTTTGAAATATTTAGAAATATATTATAATAGAATAAGATGCTAAAGACATATATAATATTAGGGATTCAAAATTTAATTAAGCCTAATTTATATTATTTCTTACTTATATTTAATTAAAATACCCGTACACATTTTTTCCTGACATTCTTATTTGTGTGAAAGACATGTTTTTTTATTTTAATTACAATTACTAATGCGACATCGTCGTCGTGCCCAAAACTTACTTAAGCAAATCAAACCATGAAGCAATCTTTTAAGTTTTTAAAAAACTCAGACAAAGTTATCTTTATGTTCATATCACAATAAGATAAATTTTGCATCTTAGTAAATTTCATACCAACAATATCAAACAAGTATAGGTTATATATATATTAATTAGTTTAATAAGTAATATTTATTAATAATAATATCTAAACAATTTCATTTAATCATTCCGTGTTCGAATATACGTCTAAAAAATGTATCATAAATCATTATTATCATTAAATTTACATGTCCATTAATATGCATGTCACGTTTAATTAATTTCATGTAATATTTCTATTTTAAGACCTCCATCAATTCTTCCATGCACATACCTTTTTTTCCTTTAATGCGAGTGAGATAGTTGGCGTTTTTTATTTCTATTGTAATTAAATCTTAAGTTTATTCGCCTCACTGTACAAATTATTTTCCAAACTACACCGTATTATTGTTGACGTGGAAAATTTTCTTTCTCGGTAAACAATTTTTCATGGAGATTTTAACTTTTTATGGACATATTGCTCTCATAATTCGACTCCCTGAGGAATGAATCTAAACATTTTTTTAATTTAATTAATTAAATAATTTTTAGAAAATATTTCTTTATCAAAAAATTTTAATTGTACATGATTAATTAAAATTAGTTCTTATAAATTTAAAATTTTGATAGTGTGAGGTAAGTTTGGAGTTAAAAAATATATTTAATTTAATATTTATAAATAAGTTAGGAGTGAAAATTTGAAGAATAAAAGTAATAAATAAGATAATTTAAATATATATGATAATAGAAAAATTATGACAATAGTATATTTTAATTATGGTTATTTTTTGTAAAATTAAATTTGAGAGATGCATATTTATTTTATTAAAATAATTTATGTAACAAAATTTTTGGTAAATTCTGAATTAATCTTGAATATTCATTAGTTTTTCTTGCATTCTAATATTCTAATATGGGCAATCACATTCTATAGTTCTATTAAAAGTAATATGCAAATCCTTTATCTATATCTACTAACTCTTTCACATACAACCTAATAACATATATATTTTTTTATTCTTTATTTTTCATTTTTATGTATTTCATCTTAATATGACATGACAACATTAAAATTAAAGATAATTAAATGGATACCCTCTCTAAATCATTTTGTTCAATAAAAATCTTCACATTGCAACCTAATTAATCAAATACGCCACCTAATCAACCACACAATTAAATCATTGATATTCAATTAAAAAATATAAAAATTCTAAATACTTAGAAAATATAAAAAATTTAATAATAACTCAATTAAAAATACATAAACTTATAAAGGACTTGAATTTTGATTAAAAATACTTTAACCTATGTTTTTTTATTTTAATTATAATGAATAAATTTTAACTAATTTTCTTTTTTTAAAAAGTCTCATCCCAACCCGTCCTTCCTGTGATCTACTTCAATAACTTGCGCATAATTGGAATTGTTGAATTCGTTGTACAATATATTCTCATTTATGTATTTCGGAAGAAGACAATTTTGTTCCTCTGCAACAAACATTCACATGTCACATAAAGTGGTTTGAATGGGAGAAATCTATGGTCACTCAGCTGGTAAAAGAGTTAGAAATGATACATTTATACAGAGAAAAAGAAGATAAGTGGTTTGAAGGATGATGAAATGAAACACCATAATACGTCCTTAAATCGAATTACAGAAAATTAAACTTTCATAATCTTGTCCATGACCGGTTTAAATATCATGAGTTGTGAAAACTAAAGCATTGTCATTTGTTCAATTTTTGGCATGGATACTCATTAATAAAGTGATTACTTTTACTTAGTAAGAGAATATTTTTGGAGCTATAGTCATTTTTTTTTAAGTGTAAGGTGGTAACATACATTTGGTAGATTTGTGACTCATGAATAGAACAATAATTTATTTATCACAATAGTGCAGAAATATATTATAGCTAGGTTGACGTAATAAGGACTAGTAATAAATATAATCGAGTTTGGCAATGTATGTAAGTGACTATGTATTTGGAGTCATAGTAATGATGTTATATTTAGAAATGCAAGGTTTTTATGTTAGCAATATCTCTTTGAAATTTTTGTTTTGATTGACATTGCAGGGAGAAGTGTACATGAGAAAGTTGGTCCATGAACTTTCTTTTGTTTTTTTATAAGGGTTAGGACAACTCTACTGTGTCTCTTTAATTATATTTGTTTTTGTTATTAAAATAAAAAACAACCACCACGCCTGAATTGCAAAATAAAACTCACAAGACAGTGTCATTATTTTAAAATATATGGCCAGGGCATTTGGGTGATTTTTAGACCTTTAGTGTTCTATTTCCATTTGAACATTTGGATGGAAAAACAAAACACTTATTTTCAATGGAAAAAATATACTGTAATATGATTGCCTGAAAATTAATTTTAATTACTAATTGAAACTAACTTTTTTCTAGTCAATTTATGCCTAAATTAATTATAATTTTTTTTTAAAAAAAACTCACTTTTATCTCTGTTCTCATTTTGTTTTATCACAAGTTATCATAACAAATATTATTTAACACTTACTAGTTTAGAGTCATTTTATTTTAAAAATTTTAAAAAGTAATATGGAATTTTTTTTACTCTCATCAATAACAATCTAATTTCCAGTTTACAGAATAATATGCAATTGCATATTGAAGAAGGATCAAATGCGTGGAAAAGTGTAATAAAAGGGTTCAAATATAATGAAATAAGAAGTAAAATGACAGAAGTATTTTAGAAAGCAGAACACTTCCCTATACTTGCTTCTTCTCCAGTTTTCTACTGGCGTTCTGCTCCTCTTCTCCAAGGGCAGAACAACAATTTGCTTGTATGTTTTCATGATTCAAAAATTCAAGACATTATGTGTATTGCTGTTGGTCTGCTTTAGACTTGCACACTATCTCTCAGTTCCTGGCCCATGGTCTCAATCGGTAAGAATATGACACATATTCCTGAAAGAAGTACTATTATCTCAAACAGAAGGACAGCTGCAGTTTGATGACATCCATGTACTAAACCCACAGCAACCAGAGGACATATCATTCCACCAATTCTGCCCACCGAACTTGCAATTCCCACACCAGTTGTTCTAACTGATGTTGGGTACATCTGCAGTTCATATAAATATTAGAATATTAAATTACAGTAATGTATAAAGAAGTATTCAACAAAAAAAATTCTGTCAAACTATCTTTAACTATATGTGTCATCGTCTTAAAACCTGTCAAACCACATTCAGCGTTTGTCTTTTCTGAAAATAAATATTATACTTAATACAAATGATTTTAATTGGTGACAGGGAAATTTCTGTCACAGAATAGTTTTATTTAAGATGCACTCCACATAAAATGTTTTATACAGTTGAAAGAATGAAATTATTATCTGGAAGTTTATTGAAAAATGATAAATGAATCAAATGATAAACATACAATGCATATCAATCATTTATTAGAGCAATAAACTACACTCCAGTCCATATGATTTGTAATTGCATCACTTTCAGTTTCATATTAAGAAGCCTAATTGGTTTTGCAAAGAAGAAATTAAAAGATTAATCTTAAAATATAGTTTCTTTAACTATAACTATAAACTCTCTGCACTCATAATTAGCGAGTTTGTTTTTATGTATTGTTTTTTGCTGATTACTAAATGGTGTTATTTCAAGAGTCAATTGGAGAAAAAAGAATGTTAAGGGAAGTGTATATATAATTTACTCGCTTTGAAACTTGGTAGTACTTACGTGTTACAAGAATTAAACTTTCTAAGGTTCAGTTTGGGGAAAGAATATTAGAATGATAACATGTATTCGTCGCTAGTAGTTTTCTATTTCGAATCATCTTTGTTTCAATAAGATAATTCAAAATTATTTTGCAGTAATACGTTACCTCTGGTGCATATATATACACAATTGTGAAGGTTGCTGTGATGCAAATGCGAGCGAGAAATAAAAGGCCCGTTGTTAAGCCTTCAGGCAGATGGAATACTAACGGGAGAAGAAAAATACAGCAGATGAAGAACATAGTTGACATTGATAGTTTTCGACCGAGTTTGTCGACTGCCACAGCTGACAAGAGGAGTCCAGGTACCTCTATGCACAAAATTAAATTACGTATCAGTCAGACATTTTACTGCATCGGTTGGGTATGAAAGCTCGGAAACCAGTAAGAAAATACCTGCAAAACTGGCAATAAAAACACTCTTGTAACTAACATCCTGGTACTTCTCTGTCTGCAATTTATGTGACACGCATTTACTATGTCCGTTCAGCTCAGTTGTCAACAAAACAAGGCC